CGATATTTAATTAATATTTTTTAAACATTGAAACATTACAGAAAGATGAAAAGTGGTGCTCACAGCCCAGTGTACACACCTCCAGCTGTGGTAGCACATTTTAATGAAAACTGAAATATTCAATAGGCCTACATTTCTTAATTATAAAAATAATAGGTCTTTAACAGAAAAGAAAGTATTAATTGCCAGGCTTAGAGATTTAGAACTATAGTTAGTGAATTATATTCTTGAGTCTTTAATTTGGAAGATGTTACCAATTTATTTTTATTCTGACTTTATTTTATATAGTTAAATCCTAAAAATACAAATTAAATAAGATTTTTAAAAACTTTTAAACTCATTAATCATATATGCCACGAATTACTGCCAATTCTTATTTAACCTCCAGAAATACTACGGTTTTATTCTGTTAGTCACTAGAATGGCAATCACAAACCTAGTATTTTCTAGCCGATCCAGATATACTTTCCAAACATAAATTGTTTATGGAGTTATATTAATCAGTAAACTAGTCCTTAATTGTCTGAATGTTTTCCCAAAGTTCTTTTATTAAAAAGAAATTTATGAAAATAGCATATGTTCATTTCAGAAATTCAACACAGAAGTATATAAAGCAGAATGTGAAAACCGATCTTAATTACCACCAATATTTCCCTCTCTTCTACCCACCGCCCCCAGCATTCTTGCTCCCAGGAGATAATCATCACTTGTAACAGTTTAGTATGTACCCTTCAAGACCCTGTTGCAGTAACTCTATACCCTTGATGGTCAACAGTTCATTTACAGTGACATCCATTTCTTTTGGAGGCCCCTACACTGGGCTGGTGGGGACTTTTCCATTGTTACTGAGGAGCACATATCATCAATGAGGAGTGCATGTGGGGGTGAGTCAGACTTGGCACCCTGGCCTCAGGTGGTTTTCAGTGTAGTCAGAGAGGTGTACAGTGATAACTGTAATACAAGATGAAAAAGGTGTAAGAGAGGAACAGATGAAATGCTGTGGGATTCATGGGGTAAGGAAATTATTTACCTTTGCGGTGATATTTGAGCAATTCTGTGAAAGACAGACAAGATGGTTTGGGGGCAGGGAGGCAAAAAACAGATATACTGGTAGGAGAAAGGCACAGAGATGCCGGGGGTTGACAAGGCTATTCCATTTTCCTAGACTGTAGCATGCCTGTATGAGAGTAGCAGCAGATAAAGATGCAAAGGTAGTTTGGGGGAGAACTCTAAACACCTCTATAATAAATCTTGAAAAACTTTTGAACAGAATAGTGGCATGACTAGAGATGTACATTAGGAATATTAATCAGACATTAGAGGGAGTAGAGTGTCAGTCACAGGCTTTGCAGTAATTTGGAAGAGGAGTTACCACAATGAGGTGTAGTAGTAGCCATTGGGCTGTAGCTGAAACAGGACCTCCAGGTCTTAGCAGCTACCATATTCCATCAAATCTAAGAAGGCTTTGACTGTATGACACATCTTTAGTTTATGTACTGGGGTGGGCGTGGGTGGAGGGAGGACACTGCCAGTTAATTTTCAGACACCACCAATTACAAGATGTACCTGATTTTAGAGATTATAATAATGAGGAAATGTGCATCATAAAATCAGTGAAATAGAGTAAATTGCATGGGCACAGGGAAAAGAAGGGGTATGCAAGAAAGGAGAGAGTTGAGAAAATGAAAGAGGGCGGGGGTGATGAGATCAAAGGCACAGCTGGAGAAGTAGACCTTGAAGAGGAGAATGCATCTTCCTCTGCCATGAGACGAAGACAAGAATGTGCAGTGACTCGGAGACGTGTAGAAGTTGAGAAGCTAAAAACATTAAGCAAACTCATATTTAATAACCTCCATCTTGGTAAAAGAGGAGGCAAGGGCATCTGCAAAAAGAATGATGGTAGTGGGTTTGAGGGCTTGGGACTTCAGAGTGGAAAGGTTTTGGGTAAGTGGGGCACTAAAGATGGAGTATTAAAGACAGTTGGCTAGAAGGACAAAAAGCATTCCCAACAGAAATGAGGGGCCCAGTTAAGGTTGAAAAGCACAGATTTATAAAGAAACCAGTTGGCCCTATTTTATGACTTTGTCCAGGAACACTTGGTACCCTGCGAGAAGGATGGAAGAAAACAAGAGGAAGGTGCTTTCTGCAGGGTGGGAGACTGGCTGGATAGGTATGGTGGAAGGACAGAAAAACTGAATAATCCATCAGAATTTCTCCTAAGAGATACAGTTGATTCGGCTTGCCATGGAGTTCAGGCTGAGAAATGAGAGGTGAGGCCAGAAAAAGAGTAATAGATGAACAGATTTTTAAAGTTGGAGTAGGGTTTTAAAGGATTCGAGATTATAAAGAAGGTGAAGAAAAAATTATTTTGGAGAGGTGGAGTAGGTGAGTAGAAGGTTGATTGGGGAATTTCAGAATTTCAGATCATAGGGTTGAGTATTGAAGATATGTTATCGTTCTCAAACACAGATGGGAGTATATCTCTGTGTGGCCTGAAGACCTCTATTTCAGGGTGAAGTCTCTACTACTCATAGAACAGGCAGGGCTCATCACAGGCTGGCCCCATCCTACTCTTCCAGACTAGTGTCTCCTCATTTCTTCCCCATATTCTAACCACACTGAACTCTTCTCTATGCCCAGAATCCTCAAGGCGTTTATCTACCTTTTGCCTTTGCTCATGCTCTTTCC